TTGTCGGCGCGCTGTTGTCGGCGCGCTGTTGTCGGCGCGCTTTTGACATCGCCATTTTAGCGCCACGGTTTTGTCGGCGCGCTTTTGTCCTTCGCGCATTTGTCGGGTCACGCTTGAGGGAAGCACCCACATTCTCAGTTCTACCTGCCAATCTGACCACAAATATATGAGAGGGGTGGTGGTGGTGGACACAGAGAGACTGAAAAAGAGGGGCTGGAGAGTAAAGTTACAAGAGAGTGCAGAGCAGGTATAGGTTCCTGGTGACAGAGGAAGAAAAGTCTATAGCTACCTTCTCTGGAGGAAGAGAACTGAAGTCCCCAAAAGGACAACATCTTCATCTTGGTCTCTATAAAGGACTTGGCAGAAAGGGTCTTTCCTAAGAAAAGGTCTTCTCTTAACACAGGAGAAGGTGGTTGATTGAGCAAATCCAGGCAAAACACATAAACAATAATCCAGCATATTCTTTTATTTTTACTTTCTTGATAGTCCCAGAAACCAGATGGAGTGGCGCGAAGGGAGGGGAAATAAAGCAGTTAATAGGACAGCTGGAGGGGTGTAGACTCTTAAGGGAGAGAAAGAATTCTGACACCTGAATTGCATTGTAAATAACTTCACTATATATTTAAAAAAAGAAAGAGAGAAAAGTGTGAAAGCCTTCTGATTAGCTGGGTCAATTGCCAACCTTTCAAACCAAAAATACCTTTAATTCAAAATGAACCCCATCACTCTGTGACAAAAATTCATTCTATAACCTGTATTTGGCAGGAAGCTTGTTCAGCAGAGCTCATATGGAAATCATAAAATGGAGACAGAAATGAAAGAAAGCAGGTCACAATACCACAGAAATCCTCTTAGCTGGATAGTAGGGTTTATTCCTTCACTGGACCATTAACTGCTCAGTGGATTGGTCCAGAGGTGATATTCAGCAGGTTCTGATGAGTTCTGGAGAACTGGTAGCGGACATTTTGAGTAGTTCGGAGAACCGCTATATACCACCACTGAGTAGCCCTATTCTCTGTCTCCCAAGTCCCAGGTGATCGGGAGGGAATGGAGATTTTGCAGTAACCTTCCCCTGAAGTGGGGAGGGAATGGAGAGTTTACAGTACCCTTCCCCTGCCACTCCCACCAAGCCATGCCACGTCCACTAAGCCACGCCCACAGAACCAGTAGTAAAAAAATGTGAATCCCACCACTGGATTGGTCTTTGAAAACACATGGAAGACATCACTTCAGTCTGCTAAGTAGAACCATTACACCCTGCCTTGTGAAATTATTTTAGAACTTTTTAAATTATTGTACTTTTATTTAGAATTATGTATAACACCTCTAAATTATTTGGGGAGGATTATTGTTCTGTGGTAGTGGCAATTATGATGATTTATCAGAGTTTCAAATAGCTTTCAGGAATTCTGTCTTGCAGTTATTACTGCATTCATTGCAAATGTACCACTCTTAATTTTCAGGAACTACTTCCAGTAGCAATACAATGGTGGCACCCACAGATGGTAATCACAATAAGCTTACAAAAGATAGTATTGATGAAAGGTAAGAAGGAATTATAAGATTTGAAATACTGATTTTTTTTTAAGTAAAACCTTCATAGGTCTAACAATAATGCCTAAACTGATACTTTATTAGATGTTGGTGACAGCATAATATAGTCGCTGATAATGACAATGTATGTATTTGTATTGTGAATGCCAGCCTATCAAATTGGCTTTTTGTCGTGTAGATAAAAGAGATACCTAATCGTACCCTCTATTGTGGGAATAGAGAATTTGAGACTTGTTTTTTTAAGACAGCGGTTTCAGCCCACAGCCCATGGATAGGCACTGGGCCACAGCATGCCAGAAACTGGGCCGCATAAACAAGCAAAGCCCCATTTGGTCTGCAGAAAAAGCTCTCTCCATAGAATCAGTTCCCTGGTGCTCAAAAGGTTGGCGGGGGGTGGGGAGGTGTTTAAGAAAACTGAAGGAGTGGAAATTGAGTTGGGAGAAAGCATGGAACTAAACTTTTCCATATTGCCTGTGATTATATTTTGGGTGTGCCTAGCATCCAGGTAACAGATAGTGTGAACATTTTTTTCAAAGGGATTGTGGTTAATGGCTGTGTACATCTAATGTTTTTGTTTCTCCATACAACATTTAATGTTGAATCTTATGCGTTCAATAAAACCTATAAAATGTATTTATAATTTTATCACACTTTAAGAAATTGAAGCACACTCTCTTGACAGCAAGCGGTTTAGTCTGAATAGTTTTTATGAAATAAAGGGCACATAAATTATTTTTCAATAACACGTTTGATTGGATAAACATTCCAGCTACATGGAAGAATAGAAATGTGGTCTTTGATAACACTATTACTGTGTTTATTCCTTTAGCTACATCCACCTGGATATCTATAGTGGATTGAACAGTAATCTGAACCGCCAGCATCACCGGCTAGAATCTCGATACAGCAGCAGTTCAGGAGGTTCATATGAAGAAGAAAAAAGTAGTTCAATCTTTTATTTTCTTTAAACAATCCAAGGTTTAACTGGTACATGCACGAATTTTGTTAACCGATAAACTTTGTAGAAAAATCTATTATCTTTTATCTGTCGTGGCAACGAAAGTTATATTCATTCAGCTAAAGACCATCTGCTGAATTGTTTAATTTTTCTTTGTACTGTACATTGGGGGATGCTATTATGTTACTTGGCAAAGAATAGTGTCATTATATACCATAGCATTCTTCAAAATGAAAAAAGGTCTTCTGCAGTCACGACATAAGCCTAAGACTGAAAAACAGGCTTGTCCAATGTTGCATCTTTTCTATCCTGCTCTATGGAGTAGAGACTCGGTCTCTGACAGAACGCCACTCAAACAGACTAGAAGCATTTGAAATGTGGATTTACAGATGGATGTTAAATATAAGCTGGGCTGACAAAATCACAAATGAGGAGGGGATAAGTCACCTGGGAAAGCCCAGGGAAATCATCAAAGCAATTGAAAAGAGAAAGTAGAATATCTTGGACATGTGATGCAACACCCGGAAAAATATGGCAAACTTAACTTAATCCTCCAGGGAAAAATTGAAGGCAAATGAGGTCCAGGCAGAAGAAGAATAGCAATAGCAATAGCAATAGCAGTTAGACTTATATACCGCTTCATAGGGCTTTCAGCCCTCTCTAAGCGGTTTACAGAGTCAGCACATTGCCCCCACAGTCTGGGTCCTCATTTCACCCAGATAGATAGATAGATGATAGATAGATATTGAGAGAGGGAGAGATAGATATAGAGAGAGGGAGGGAGGGAGAGATAGATATAGATAGATAGAGATAGATAGATAGATAGATAGATAGATAGATAGATAGATAGATAGATAGATAGATAG